CTCCTGAGTGTTATGCAAGTAACTTGGGGTGCCTCTTGCCGGCTGATTCGGGAGGTGGCACGTCGGGAGAGAACCCAAAAATGAGCACCTGTCCCGCCTTACACCCAATCGCGACCGTATAACCAGAAACGACTGAGGCCGTAGGCTTGTACTCCCGGGGGAGGTAAATAACCCTCCTACCGTTCCACGTGATCCACCAGCTGTTATCCGTATCTCCATCACTGCTCTGATCCTCACTGGAAGTACTGGAATCCTCATCGTTGCCCTGATCCTTGATGTGAACAATCTGGAGGCCATAGGGAGCCCATGCAGGATACCGAGCTTGCTCCGGTGTTGAAGTTGCTGAGTTCAAGGTGGGGACGAGCCTTGCTCCGAGGTCTGTGACAACGTAGTCGCTGGATCGTTCATCGAACCGTAGTCCCCGGTAGGCATGTTCGGTTTCGACCGGCTCGCAAAGCGTATGCCCTGTCTCTGCACACCAGACCACGACATGGGAAGCGGACGATCCCATCACACGCCGCGAATCAGGGAAAAATGCAACGTGTTGGAAAGCATCCCGAATACCGACACCGCCCAGCTCGTATTTAAGGGTCCATGACTCGCAATCCCATATCCTCACTGACAAATCATCCCCTCCTGAAGCCAGAGTGCGTCCGTTTTCGGCCCAAGACACGCATCGGACGTACTCAGTGTGGCCCTCCAGCTTCTTGTAGTGGCTCAGCCCGGCGTTCTCACGGGACGGGGGTTTTCCTTCCAGGTCCCAAATACGAACCATAGCATCGTCGGAGGCTGTTGCCACGTAACGCCCGTTGGGCGAGAAAGTCGATTGCCGGACCCAGTCGTGGTGCCCGGTCAGTCGGGCGAGCAAGCTGCCGCTCTCGACGCTCCAAACCCCAGCAGTCCCGTCATATGACGAAGAGACCAGCTTCTTGCCGTCAAGAGAGAAAGCGAGGTGGCAAATGGTGCTCGAGTGTTCCATATTTGCCTCTAGCGGCACTGGCAGCCCAGAGTCGGCGTCCCAGATGCGGATACTTTGTGACTGCGCTGCGGCGACGCGCTTTCCATCGAGGGATATCCCGAGAGCGGTGATGTATCGTTGGTCAACCTCCGGGCACTGCTGAGTTAGCTCGCTTCCGGTGCTCTGATGGCTGTCCCACATGATGACGTCGCCACTGGTGGAGCCGGCGCCCAGGCGTTGTCCGTTTGGCGAAAGAGCAGTACATATGGTCCCTCTCGCTGGCACCCTGGCCGTGATAGTCTCGGTGGGGAGGTCCCACACACATATCTCATCTTTCTGGGCGGTGGAAAGCGTAGTCCCATCTTCGGAAAATGCAAGACACAAAATATTGGCCGAACTGGTAAGGGTGCAGACTTGGGTGAATGTTTCTGTGTCCCAGATGCGAACCACGTCTTCCTTACACGATGCCAACCGAGATCTGTCAAAACAGTATTCCAGGTACGACGCGCCGACCTCGAACCGCTGTTTGGCGGGAGGGTCACGTGCGACGTCCTGAAAGGTTATTGACTCATCATTTGCCCATGCGAAGGAGCTCCCAGTTGGCGACAGCGCTGCCTCCACCGCCCCGGGAAGAGAGTGGGTAGAGCCGTCAAATGTGTTCGTGTTCCAAAGGTGCACAGTCCTTCCCGAGGTGAGGACCATCAACTTCGAACTGTCCGAGGAGAACCTGACGCTGAGAACTCTTCGTTCAACGTACCTGTCCATGATAGGCTGCCCGGTGAAGAGGTCCCAAATCCGGACATGACAATCGTCAGAGCCTGATGCCACGAGGCCTTTGGATGATGAGCCCACCGCCATGACCCAGTCGCTGTGGCCTCGAAATACTCGCTGAGTGGTCCCGGTTTCAACATCCCACACCCGCACTGTTCGGTCATCGGATGCTGAGATGAGCAGTCGACCGTCCAGCGAGAACTCCACCTCTCTTACCCAGTTAGTATGGCTTCCGAGTATTCGAGTGTCTCGACTCCAGCTCTGTATTGCCGGATACGTGGTTACCCAAGGGAAGTGGTGTGCGGCGAAGTCACGTTTGACGAAGTGAGTCTCAGGGCAGAATAGGAGGGAATTTTGGGCTGGGATAATCCCGGACATGTTGGTCGACGCGTGAAACTCGATTAGGTTGTATACGTCGCGCAAAACCGACAAAAAAGTCACTGCAGCTTCCAAGCTGCTGCTCTGTAATGGAAAAGGTATCAGTGCTTCTGTCCACATCTAGCATTAGGGGACAGGTTTGACAGGCCGGCTTACCTTGGCTGCAGCCGCGAGGTTGCGAAGGCTCCATGAAGCAGCTCGAAGTTGATCGATGTCATCCAGGATATCAATCCATTGCGTGGCGTGCTGCTTGAGAAATGAGAGGATCAAGCCAGACGTTTGCCCATCGCTTGGGAGAGACTCCATCTCGCATGCATGCTGTATCCACCAAAGGGAAGAGTACCTGACCGACACCAAAGACATTTCTCCCGGGCTTTTCTTCTCAATGGCAGAAACATTCCCGCCACTTTCCTGGCCTACCAAGAAATTGGTGAGAACGTCGAGGCACCGCTCGGCAATCAGTGAGTGAAGATGTTCTGCACCGGAGTACCTCTGCACAGCAGCCTTCCTTGCGTAGTCCCGTGCCGAGTGATGCGAGAAATAGACGGTTCCGTCGTCGTGGACATCCAAGAAACCATAGCATCTCTTTGCTATGCGCCTGAAATCGACCGAATCTGGAACTTCGGCCAGCGCCACAAGCTCGGATTGGTGCAGAGGCCGATATGCGAGGGCGGCAACGGTGAGGATCGACAAGCAGTACGTGGAATCACCATAGGGAAGACTTGCTGATTTCCCCGTGCATCTTCTCCAAAAGCTTTTCCAAGTTATTCGGCGCGCCTTCAATGATCTTGTCCGCGTGCCAAGCCTCTGCTGCCATGAGCCGCTTGCACAGAATTTCGACCTCAACGTAGTTACTGCCTGTCCGTTGTGCCATCAGTGCGAGGATCTTGCCCTGCAGCTTCTTGTCGTAACCAATGTCTTGAGCAAGTTTTGACACTCTGTCAACGACATGCTTCTCGAAACGGATTGACGCATTCTCGGTGTCGGCATTGAGATCGATGTGACGGATGCACGGTGATTCCTCTGGCCAGATTGTGCGGGAGGTGCTAGAAATCAGCCATCGAAATGAGCGTGCCCACTGTGTTGATCTGAGCACAAGGCGCAAGAAATCCTGCTGTGTCGCCCTAGGAGCCTCGCCGAACTATTCGTCAACAGCATCGACAACGAGGTAAGTCTGGCCAGCGTCGCACAACACGGTATGGAGGAGACCGGAAAGAGTAAGGAAGTCGTTGGGATGGTCGAAATGCCTTCTCCCCGTCGAGCTGCGCAGTTCGTCTAGGTGCACTTTCAGATCGGGCTGATCTAAAAGCAAGAGCCCAACCAACCCTTTGATGATTGATGCAGCTGAGTTGTCGGCCAGATCGTGGACACCGCAAAAGAAGTACGAAAGGTGCGACCACCCCCCCCCGACTTCCGGGCTCGCGCCATAACATCATTGACGACCATGGCTAAGAGCGTCGACTTTCCGCTCCCCGGATCTCCGGTAACCCAAACAATCGGAGGATCGTCATCGTTCCAATTCGGATTATCGAAGGCCGTGTATTCAGGCTGGGAGACAAGCCACTTGTGGGAGTCCCGCAGCACGTCCGACCGGGTGCCTGTAACGTCGGGAAGGCCCTTTCTGGGGTCAATTGCGTGTAGTTCATCGAATACCTGGGTGCTGGAAGGGTCTGGCTCTGTGCCCTCGGAGGGGTCCGGCTCGCTGGTTTTTTGTGCCGCGCTGATCATTTTATCGGCTTCTTGCTTGATTCGGGAACCGATGGAACCATGACAGGCGAGAGCATTCTCCGCTTCAATCACCAGATTCAAGGGCGTCACGGGCCGGTCAAGGGTCAAAATACCGAGCGACAGTCTGGTTAAATCCGGAATGTCAACCCCGTAGCGAAAACAGACAATATCGAACTTTCGGTTGAAAGGCGATGCGCACAGTGTCGTGAGTTGTGACTTGGTCCCAGGGGACCAAGGCAGATTGTAAAGTACAGACATGAAAGGACTATGTTGTCAGAACAAAAACAAAAGGTCCACCTTGGGGGTCCATGTCCAGCATTAAGAACCCACGATGTAAAAAGATATGATCGACCATACTGGGGCTCGAACCTAAAAACCATTTAGTATCAGCAACACTGCAATTGTAAACTAATCAGGGGCGGCTCGAGAGTGTGTGCTGTGCCCTTGGCAGCTTGTACCTCCTTGGATCGATCGGCATCCTCCGCTGGCAACTGCAAGATGGCTGGCACGCGAAATGGACTAGAAGCTAAGCCCCTGGGGTGTCATTTACTAAATGTGGCCCAGGACATTGGGGACGTTTAATTTTCTTATGTGCTTAAACGGCGGAAAACTGTATAAGGACTGTTTGATAAAACCACTGTGTTATGGGGCTAGGCCCTGGATAGTTAATCTGGCCATTGGCCAGACCTTTGCCCCCCACCCCCCATCTTAATTGGGCTGTTGAATTTTGCTTTTAGGAAAATAAAAGTGCTAGAACAGCGGAGTTCAGAGGTGTTTGCTGATGAATTGAAATTCCTGACTCCTATTCTGACTTGCGTTGGTCTCTAGCCCCTACCTGTTCTTATTCGTAGAATTTACACGATGAAACTGTTATACGCCTTGCCGTATGGAGGGCAACACGTCAAAAAACAATTGAATCATGACTGCAAGAACGTGTTTGTAATGCTGAACCCAAGGAACAGGATGTTTTTGATGTGTTGAGCATTCATTGCTTGAAGCGCCTGTTGGGGCACCGTCTCGCACTTCCGAACAAAAAAGGGGTGTTTTTCACAGATATGAATGTGCCCGTGGCAAATCAATCATTGCTGCTCTGGAGCTGGAACGTGAGTCAGACGTGTGAGGTGCACCTACAAAAGATGCAAAATACAGGAAAAAAAAAATCGAATAGCTTGGCCTCGTTTCGATCGAGGGACCTCCGGGTTATGAGCCCGGCGCGCTTCCGCTGCGCCACCAAGCTTTCTTTCCGACTTCGGATGATTGGTGCAGACACCAACAGAGCTTATCACCGCCAGTAGCGGGGCGCGACAAACTTTGATCGATTGCACCCAAAACCATTTGTCTTGCATCAGATCAAGTTGTCAGGAGAATTTAAACCCAATAATCGTCTGGCCGGTTACAATTCTTGGGAGGCCTTACTTGCGACATTAGCGCCCGACGCTGACGTCATCGTGTGTTTACGTTCATCCACTCGTTTCAACCTCGGCCGACGATCGTGGACCCTGATGGGCAGCACGGAGGTCGCCGGCGCGGCACCGGATAAGACGGCGAGCCAAGCGACGGCTAAGCCCTGAGACACGCGGCGGTGTAGCGGCGTCTCCGCGATTGCGGCGACTCAGAAGCGTCGAGGCGAACTCTAGGCGTGCCTAAGCGGGTCCGGTGGAGCCTCAGGGACCCGGTCCGACTCCAGCTGCGCAGCGTCTAACAGCTGTCGCATCACCAGGGCCCTTGAATGACTCGAAGTGTTTCGACTTGTTTCCAGCTAAGGAACGGGTATAAGAGGTTGCGGATGACTCGGATGACCCGGACGACTTAGATCATCATCATCATCAGCCCGAACTCCAAACACCATCAACACCAAAAATCATCACCGAACCGAACGTTGTCACCACCGCAACCATGAGCTACTACAACACCAACCCCCCGCAGTACAACCAGCCCCAGTACCCACCCCAGGGAAACAACAACAACAACAACAACAACCAAGGCGAAGCAGCGTCCTACTACGACATGCCCAACAACCCGAACCCGCAATGGCAGCAGCAGCAGCAGCAGCAACAGCAGCGATACGACCAGCCCCAGCAAGACGGTGAGCGCGGCTTCCTTGGCGCAGTCGGAGGCGGCATTGCAGGCGGAGTAGGCGGCCACGCCATCGGCGGCAAGACAGGCCATAGCAAGCTGAGCAGTACGTTTCCCATTCTCCAACCACACCTTCTCCCTCCATCCTTCGACATCCTCAAGTCCCATTCTTGGCAACAACTGTCACTAACACACACCCCAGCCGCCTTTGGCGTAATAGCCGGTGCCGTAGCAGGACACAAAATCCAAGACGGCGTCTCCGACTGGAAAGACAACCGCGACGAAGAAAAGGAACGGCAGAAGCGCGAAGAAGAAGACCGCAAGCGTCGCGAAGAGGAAGACCGTCGTCGTCGTGAAGAAGAGGAGCGTCGTCGCAAGGATAATCGTCGATCACCATCCCCTCGTCGTCGTTCCCCATCGCCTCGTCGGGATCGCGACTCCGGCTCAGGTGTCAATTACGCCGGTAACTTTTCTGGGTCGGCGCGTGATGTCCGCGTTGAAGCGCACGGCGAGTATATGCTCCACGCGTCGTGCAAGAGAAGGGACGGGAGTTACCAGTCCAGCTCCATCTCGTTGAACAAGTTGTTGGAGAACGACCAGGGGAGTTTCCGGTGGGTTGGGAAGCGTCAGGGGGGTGGAGGGAAGAGGACTGTTACTGTGCAGCGGGGAGATACGCTGCGGGGGATTGCGAGGCAGGTTGGGTGTGAGTGGGAGGTGTTGGCGCGGGAGAACGGCCTCCAGAATCCGGACTTGATTTATCCCGGGCAGGTGCTGCAGGTTCCTGGTGGCGGGGGCTGTGGCGGGGATGTCGGCAATTTTGGGTTGTCGGCGAGGAATGTCAGGCTTGTTGATGGCGGTAGGAGGTTGGAGGGTGAGCTGATGAGGGACGGGCGGTGGGTTGGGAGCTCGATTGTGCTGGATGAGAGGATTGGGAATGATAATGGTACCCTGGTGTTCAACTAAGCTGGCTGGGCCGCGTTTGGTTTGGTTTGCTAAGTAGGACGATGGCGTTGTGTTGAGTGGAGTTTTTGGAAAGCGGTTAGAGCAAGGGATCTAGAAACTAAATTGGAATCTATCTTTAGTCGAATCAAGTTTTGTCTCTTACCTCTTTCACTGCTTGAGCTCTCTCCAGTTGAAACGAGTTGAGCGGGTGTTGCTTGACGCTCTTGTTGCCATCACGCGATGCCAATTTCCGTGACATGCATCGCAACCAACAATCTGGGATGCCGGTTCCCTTGGGCTCGAACGGCAGGAGTCAGCTTTCATGACGGTCACTACTAAGGCATCGTGAAATCATGAATGCATGCAACGTTGACTGTCCAGCCTTGAAGTAATAATAGACCAGTGGTCCAGACCACTCGCTTCCAGGGCCCGTGCAATGGCGGCCCCTAATGCCACCTAAGATATCCAAGCTTTCTGTTCTCACCAGGAGATCCCCCGGGTGGCGTCCGGCGAAACGATAACCAGCATAAACGGAACGAGCTTGCTGAACCATTGTTCCCGCCAAAACTCAGGCCTGAGTACCGGAAAGGGAGGCGATCGGGAATCCGATGTTGCACTGTCGCTCGGGAGCCAATGACCGGCGTGGAGAGGTACAATCGGGGCTGAAGTGGCGCCAATGTATTATTCACCTTTGACGATGTGTACCGAGAAGTTGCATTTGGATGGGGGGATTGCAACATCGGCGAGATGGATAAAAACTATTTATACCTGTCTTTCAGGACACTGGTTCTGGCCAAGAAGTCGTGTTGAACCATCATCATTGCAATCAATCACTTTTTGATTAACATGAAGTCCTCCCTTCTTATTCTTGCCGCCCTGTCCGCGGTTGTGACGGCTGAGAGCTGCTCTTACAAGACAGACAAGTATGGTGTATGTACCCCAGCCCCAATCCCACCCATGGATTCAAACCGACCGCGCATACAGACCGTCAAGGGAACATACATGACGCCCCGCCAATGCAGTGACCAGTTTGGCTACGTCTTGGATGACATGTGCTCAGGTATGTTGGCCATCTATCAAGGTGACAACTTATCTACATGGCTGATGCGGGACCAGGCGACGATACCATGTGCTGCATCAACTACAAGTGCAAGGCGCCCGACGGCAGCAAGGGCTTCTGCACCACCACTTCGAACTGCGATTCTCAGAAGCCTCAGTACAAGCGTGCCAAGTATGCTAAGACTTTTCAGCGAGTCTGAAGATGGTGACTAACAGTTCCCAGGAACCTCTGCCCCGGCCCGGGTGACGTCCAGTGCTGCTATTATGTTGGTTGAGAAATGGAAGGCACAGCTGGGCTCTCAGTCTTGCCACAGCATTATTCCAAGTGAACTCTCACCGCACTCCTCGTCACCACCAAGTAGCTCTTAGCACAAAATATCCATTACTTTATATCGTACCATAAATGCGTAACATCTCTTGGATCGTAGCCCACTTCACCATAGACATTCCGTTGCCCTTGCCGTAAGACACGAACTGCGCGCACTATGGTATCCCTACCTAAGTAGACCTCAAGTTAAGCGCCTGTCCGAGAAGAAACATATCGCGCTGTTTGATAAATCGACCCAGCTCCGATGTCGGCTTCACTTCCGCCATGATCCGCAAGGCGTCGTCAACGGGCATCCACTCGTGGCACAGCCCGTCTGCAACCGAGGCCTGCGTCAGCTCCGGACGGCCCGTCTCGTCGAGTACGACGGCGCGGTAGCAATGCGAGATCTGGTGCAAGTCGCCTCAGTCCTCTTCAACTGTAGCAAAGCACGCGCCCTGCACCGCGACAAGTGCGCCCGTCTCCTCAAGCACCTCACGCTCGGTCGCCTTGGTGTGGTCTTCGTCCCCTTCAACTCCGCCGCCGGGGAGTTTGTAGTAGTTACCTCGGCGGGCTTTAATAAGAGCCACGCGGCCGTCTGGTCTAGTGACAGTGGCGCGGACGGCAGAACGCTCAATGTACTGTGATCCTGCCCGTGAGATTCCAATGGTTTGTTGGGAATGCTCAGGGCTGGTGATGCTGGTCAAATCAGCTCCCATACTCCTGAGGGGATTGGCCCAAGGAAGCAATGGGAAGAGGTAGCCATTGGGCTCGATGCTAATAGAACACCTGGACAGAATGCCTCAAGGCCAATGCAGGATCTTCATAACTGGGCAGTACACCGCTGGATGAAAAGAGAACGGGAAAAGGTGTTGGAGGACGGACCATCCTCCTCGTGGGATGGACGGGATGGGTGCAAGGGAGGGAGGGTACCAAGAAGGGTTGAGGAGGGCTGTTTTGGCGGAGACCGAGCGGACGATTACACGTGGAAGGAAAAGCAAAGAGACAATACCTTGAGTGCACACCTATCCAGGAAACAAGAATCGAGGCAATTTGGAATTACCACACGGCTGTCGGTGCAAGACGTGCTGGAGGTGACGAGGTCACAGCTCGCGGGATGATCAAAAACACCGGCCCCCCATCCCCATCTAGGAATGCATGCGAGGAGAAGCATCACGTCGCCCAGCCATTCGCCAGGCTCGTGTCGGAATTCCGAGCAGCGCGGGGTAGCGTAGCTTTTAACATCTCGCTTCTGAGGACTGTGAATCAGGAATGCTCGAATTGGCTTGCCGCGACCAGAAGGATTTCAGCCTTTCAGGGCTTCTGCGGTAGCGCTGTTCCCTCTTGCTCAGGGGGGTGCCTGGGGAGTGGTGGTGCCACCACCGTCACATCAAACGTCGATCCAGAACCTCGCACTACGCGGCAGACGGTTTAGCGGCATGATTGCGCTGCCGAATCAAGAGCGCAAAACCTGGGAAGGATTGACATGCCATGCAACCACATTTCGCCATCCTTGCTGCCTGCCGCCTGCTATTCCCTGTAGTATCTAGCATCAAGACACAACGCTCCTCGAGCGAAGATAGCCCCCAAGTCACCGGCAGCCACCAATGAACGTCACCAGCTGATACCAAGGGCCGGGAAGCGAACCAAGCCAACCTCGTCGCGTTTACATTAGTGACATATGAACTCGGGGTCCGTAGAGGGCCCCCCGCCAGGGAGCTAGCCTTGAAGTGGCCTCCCGTTCTTCTTGTTTTGGCATTCGGGTGTGCAGTCGGATGCACAGGCGGGTTGTGGCGGGGATCCGGGCGGGAGGAGACGGGATGGGGGAGGGGGGGTGAGCACCTTAGACGCACCTC